CGGTGATAGGAAGCCTATGCTCGTTTTCAAATTCTTGTTACCATGTTTATGAGGTACACTGTAGAGTTTGACACTATTTACACTCCTTATCCCTGAGACGGAGTAGGCGTGGCATTTGAACATGGCATAGGATGGGTTATTCGTGGAATATTTCAACTTGAGACAACTGTCATCTTGTTCTGTAATGGACAAAGAAATGATTACAACTGTCGCAAAACGAAAATATCTCACGAAAAGCTCAACCGCCGCCAGGTTCAGTTCGAGTACGCAGCCACATCCCAGGGGTTTTGAGTATACCCTTGACTGCCAAATTTTCTGAAGTGTGGATCAGAACTTCGACTTCTCTCCAGGGGTAGTTTAACCTTCTGAATATCCAAACCGATGCAGCATTCGTATGGCATGGAACCACTTGGCGTCCGTGCGAAACTACCCGAGTAACGACCAAATTCACTGAAAACTTGTTTGTAGATGTTTACATGAGCTCCATGCGAGTTAAAGATGGGGAAGGGTATGCTCGTGACAGCATGGCCTGCTTCTAATCTGCTTCGTTCGCCCGATACAGAGATTCCTTCATATTCTGAAGCTGAGCCTTAGCAAAAAGAAGGATTACTGTAGCGGACAACCAGAAAGAGTGCTGCATTGTCTCTCCGTATTCCTCTGACTGCCTTAGCACACCGCTTGGCACGAGTCCGCACTGCACCCGCCAAGGCCAAAACAGGCATACGGGGCCGTGTTGTTTAGCGGATGCCAGGCATTTCGCGCCGAGCGGATGTGATGTTTGTGTATAAATTACCGCTGTCGACAAGTTTCCAGTGGGTTTTGTGATTAAGGGTTTTCTGGCCCCGGCTGGCAATTACGGGCTAGATGGGTGTTATATTCGTCTTCTGAGAGCCAAATCTCTCCAGAGATCAAGTGTCAGCCGAAGCTGCCATCGGTGAAAAAGTCGTTAAAAAACTGGATGTGTCTTTCAGGCATCCACCCGCCGTGGGAAGGGGGGGGGGTAGAATGACCGAGGAAACAAGCCCTGTCCCAGCATCCACTGGTCTCAAAGGCAGTATGCATGGTTGCTGTGGGCGGGCGGTCGCGGTCAAAGAGTCATTGGTGAAAGGTCTGGGTCGGGTGTGGCAAAAGCCCTCTCGCAATCCTTTCACCAATGACCCTATCAACAACCGCCCCCTGCAGCAGTCGTGCCCACTGCTGGACTTTCGCTACTTTTTCTCTACTACCGGACCAACCAGGTCGTCTCAGTGTTTAACCAGGAACAAGTTACCGTACCCATGCCTTCGAGCCAAAAGATGCGGAGAAGATTTTCTTGATGTTGGATGAATCATTTCTTATCGATACGATCTTCTTTGTAAATATTATAACTGCTTCATCTTTTGAAAAAAGGCCACATTTCAGTCCGATGTCGTCGCCTTCGTCAGCTGGTGACACCATTCTCGACACTACTGTAACTTGGAGAGATATCGAGGAGCGACTTGAGAAGGATCTCGGCAGAAAATTAATTTTTGGTCCAAAGCGCGCAGTGCAACTCATTGGGGAAGGAAATGTAAGTATTTGTTAACGGGAATGTAACTTTATAGATTAAGATTACTAGTTAAAATCCAGAGGCGTTCTATTAACAAATCACTGAGCTAGCGTAAAGGCATTTCCCATCGCTATCAACGATAGAGGCGCTTGAAGAGGAAATCTGGCCCAGTTTGTACTATCATTGCTTCCCTAGTTCCGGTTTACAAGTCTCACTCTGGCGAAACCTGTGAACTCTTGTGAAGCTGGAGCAAGCTCATCTAGCCATCATGGTAAAACCTGTCAACTCGAGAAGAGGCTGCCTAGATAGGTCGACACGTCGATGGGAAGTAGCGAAAGTGCAAAATGCCCCCACCCGTCGTCAAACTGCACCAGGAAATCTTAGTGCATTTATCAGCTTTCGTTCATTTTCAGGGCTTTATGTCGCGCGTCACCATTATGAACACCGATCTGCAAGGAGAAGCGAGCGATTTACCACCGAGGTTTTAGTTCGTTTTCTTTCTCGATTCACTGCTAGAATGAGCGTCTGAGGCAGCGTTCACACTTCGCGATGACGCGCGTCGACGTGCTCTACAACTGCGATGGCGCCCCAATGCTATAGCCGCGAACGTAGACGGGTGTCTTCGCCAGTCGCCTCGTGGCGCTAACGTAGTTGGGAGGGGCCACGCGGCTCGCGGCGAGCGATGACTCATCTGCTCTTCTGCTCCCTCCTCGGCAAAATAGAAGTAATTTCGTGTTTAGGACATGAATATAACTTCGCCCTAGCTATATTCAAAAGTTAAAACAGTTAACACTGAAAAGTGCAAAGAAACAGTTTTAGGCTGCAAGGTTCTTGCCTAAACTACAAAATTTTGTTGCATGTTTGTCGTTGACTGTTATTGTTGACTACAAAAAATCAAATTTTTAGCTTCTGTGGAATTCTTCAGCAAGTTCCCGGTGAATCTTGTTTGTTTTATTCTGATTTGGCTGCTAGATTCGCGTTTCAAGTATGCCGATGAGTGAAGAGCCGATGAGTCATCACTCGCCGCGAGCCGCGTGGCCCCTCCCAACTACGTTAGCACCTCGCTCGTTCGAGTTAATTTAGGTTGATAGGAGGGTGTGCGCTTCTAATCGCACAGTCTGGTATAATTCGGCTACGAATCCTGGTGTTTCGGGAGAGTATTGAAGAATAGGAGGGTACCAGGCTGTGTGAATACAAGACGCACCCTCCTAATTTCCTATGATATCTCGAAACAAGCGAAACGGCGCCGATTCATACCCGTCTGCAGCTGCGTTCCCGTCCATAGCACTAAATCAGCGGTAGCGCGTCGACACGCTTTACAGCGCGTCATCGCAAAGTCTGAGCGCTGTTTAAGCTGTAGTACTTGCACTGGCGGGTATTCCAGCCGATGTTGAATGCGCTTATTTTGCATTCCATAATCTAGAGAACGCACTGCGACCATCAAACAGTATTGGAGAGCAGGCGGCAATCATTGCCCGTCTACGCTGCACTTTCGTGACCTGCACCCATTTTCATTGTTCAGCGTTTCGATAACTTCGCAAAAACACCCGTATTCGCTCATGAAATGTGCTTCTAGAATAGTTGTGAAAATCTTATCGAAAATAGCCGGACAAGAAGTTGGTGACTCTTTCAAAAATCACACTGAGGACGAACGGCTTTTTGAAGGATACGAAGAGAACATCAGAAAGGTCAGATTTTCTGTCTAAGGTTTGAAATATTCTCGGTTCGCTAGAGATTCCACTTTATCCAAAGAAGTTTTGGTTTGATAGCTGCGGTTAACGGCGCGGTGCTCGCTCCGGAAAATATGACAAGAGTGCTGAGTTACGGGCCTCGGATGGGATGTAACGGCGAGATGGGGAATGAGTCTCGTCTGACTTTTGCCCATAGCTTGGCACTCTTGTAATACGGCCACGCACACAGATCAGCTGTAGACACTTCCGAAGACGGTGTGCGTGTGCTAGGTGGATGGGTCCTGCAGTAGCGTAACGCTTTCCCGCACAAAAATGAACGGGCTCCACACTTCGCCCGCGATACCCTCCAGGTGCAGCTCTTCCATCGATACCAACATTCCAGAGTGAACTCTTTGCCAGAGGAGGAGAGCAATCAGAAGTGAGAGGGCGCGGACAAGTAGCACATTTGGCTATAATAAGGCATGTGGCTGGCTGTACATAAGCAGAGTCTGGAGACGGCATCCGGGGCATCACCACCTTACAACTCAGTGCTTTTGAATGGAGAAAATGACAGCTAGCGCAGCTGCGGACACACTCTCCCCATGTTTGAGTGTAGGGAGCTGGTAAAACTTTGGGAAGTTGTTAGGTGGAATGAGGTATGAGGAAGGGGGATCACTAGAGGAGAAACTCTTGAGGGGGAGTCACGTTTCGCAACAGATTTTGCCAACGGACGGCAGGAGTGCCCTGACTTTCCATGGTACCTAAATGCACTTCACCAAAAACTCATTTTTTGTGGTCATAATATTCTTGAATTTTCAGTTGCACAATCGTGAAGTGAATTGCTATCGAGTGTATTCTCGTTTCGATCTCTCGGTAATGAAGATCCCTCGTATGTACTTCGCGCAAGACTATAATGAAAGAAACACGCAGAAAGGTAAAACTTCTTGTTATATAGGGATTGGGTAGAATGAAGTAATAATGCGAGCAGGATGTCCTACTTTTTCTGGGGATATCTTGCTCTTCCATTTTGATTGCTTTTCTTCGAACCACCTCGGTAACATCATGAGCTCGCTGAACAAAGCGCTGCAAGTGATCGCCCGCCTACTTCAATGCTAACGGATTTCTTCGCCTTGGGGAGGACCACTTTCATTAGTGAACCATTAATGAATTGAACTTGTTAATGAATCACGTACGATTCACCACGCCGGAACAAATCATTCTGTAGCAAATTGTCACAATTCCGAGAACCGTGCGGGGTGAATGGGTCGTAGTTGCAGCAGCGTGCCACTTTATCCTTCAAAACTACACGGAAACGAGATTGGAAGGTAGTGATACCCGGGTTCGGGTTTCCGACTCAGCTGCCCTCAGTGTACAGTTAGTTTTGATACTAAAGAAAAGCAATCAGCACGTAGCATGTTCTCTATCCCGCAATCAGGGATAGAGAGCAACTAGGAGTGAGGGGGTGTAGACAAGTAGCTGGTTTAACGATAGTTAGCCGTGTGGCTGAACGTGGGGGCGGAATCCGAGGACAGCCCTCAGCACTGTTTCCGTGCTCTTTTGATTAGAGAAAGTGACACTACTGCGGCTGCGGATTCATTCACCTCGCACAGACTGGGGGGTCAGTATTGCGGATCCAGTGAGTGACAGCCATGAGAGCTAATGCGCTTGGCGACTCCCAGAAATCTCGGGCTCGCAAGCTTATCTTTAAAAGTGGCACAAGATCACCGAATCCGCGTAGAGACACTTGGTAACGGCGATAATTCGAACAATTCTGATCACAGAATATGGCGATTTCATTTTGCGGCTGGCGCTAAATGATTGACACTACGGTTACCTGCGCTCTGCTAAGGCTGAGCCCAGGAGGTAATCGTAGTGTCCTCTCTTGGCGCCAGCGCCAAGAATGAGTGTCATACTCGTAATCAGGATGTTGAATTACCCCTATATACAAGTTTTTAGTGGATTTGGTGGCTTAGGCAATTTGAAAATGAGCTCGCCGAAATTTCTGGAGTCCAAACGGCATTAGCCCAGCCATGATCCCTATAGGGCTTGTCATGGGAGCGTACCTTGGAGCGTAGCCAGGGGAGATTTCCCACCACTTCTAGGAGACCCAAGATGCCATCATTGTTGGGACAAGCCCACCCGTGGCTGCGCTCCAATACGCGCCGCGTCATACGCCCTGTCGTTTGCAGTGACCATGAAGAAAACAGTTTCTCTTTAGAACGAGAGGGGTATCATTTTGTGGCATACCATATCATTGCCCGGCACGCCGACAGGAGTTTTATCCCACAAAACTCTCAGTTTTTGTTTGCTAGGTTTCTTCACGTTATAGGATGAGAAGTTAACAGTCATTTTGTTTTCCCGCGTTACTTCGGAAACTCAATTCAGCTTTCCTCGGAATGGAGTGTGTTGAAGGTGTGGAGTTGCGGCATATTTTCCATAATGTTGATGTCAAAGAACTATCCGATGTGAGCTTTTAGTCCATAGGTTTGTATTCGCCCTTCCTTCCATTACAATACAGACGGTGCAGAGGAAGAGCGCAACAATAAAGGAGACATGAGTGTGATTGAGAGTCTCCACCCTTGTCGCGGAATCAGCTTTTCAAGTGGTTCTTTCTAGGCGTTGCGAGGGCTTGCTTACCTGCAAGCGGTAAGTCTCCAACTAACTGAAGACGAAAAGCAAAAAGTCGCGAGCAATCCGATTGCCAACGTTTATGGACCGCTCCTGCCACCTCAGGTATCGTTTCTGTGGATTTTTTCTCCGGAGTTATTGGTCCACTCATCACCACGGCGAGTAGCTCAGTTCCCCTTTCATGAGAATTCAATAAAAATATTTATTCTAGGCAGTAACAAAAATGCTGTTGGATGTGGGCAGCCGATCGAAGATGTGGGAAAGCTGCTGTACAGAACTGTCGAAGATGTCAGCTGAAATAGCTGACATGAAGCTACCGTATTCACTGAATGACGAGCTTGGTGAGCTTCAACTACAACTTTCAGTTTGATATCTTCATGTCCAAAAGGTATCACTCTTTAATCTCTTTCTCTCCATGCTTCTCCCAGCCCTTGCTTACATAACACCTCTGCATTCAGAGACAAACTGTGCTCACCCGTAGTTCCTGGTCCTTACGGGGTGCGGGAGGAATGGTTCAGCAGCTGCAGTAGCGAGCCACTTTCTCCGCTCAGAAGTGCACGCGAACAGGGCTGGACATAAGTGCTCGGGTGCAGTCCCATACTTCGCCAGCGCTCCTACACTGCCGGCCACATGCCTAACCATAGCCAAACGCGCTTTCTGCCCTCTCACTTGTGGTTCTTCTCTCCCTTTGACTGTGCGTTCGCTGCAGGATTTTGGTATTGGAGCAAGTACTGCATCTTGGGGATAGCGCCCGTGGTGTCAGGAGATGGCATCCGGATACCACATTTCTCCACCCCCCCCCTTTTCTGTGCCCTTTGAACGGAGACACTACTGCAGCTGTCGCCCATTCACCTAGCATGTGGGAAGAATTCCCTCGGATCAACTGTACAGTTTTCCTCTTATGCCCTCCTTCACCGCCTTTCTCCAGGACTCTGAACTCGAACCTGGACAATGAATACCTAAAACTGCTGCAAAATGGCTTATCATCCAAAGTTTTTAAGAAGATAAAGCTCTTAGCGATCATCGTGCTCTCTTACAATAACTAAATATTACCACCTTATACGTGTGCGCACATAAGCTATGACAGAAGCCATAAAGCTGATGGAGAGACAATAGAAGGCGGCTCTGGTGATGTAGTGATCCACACGGACACGGTACAGTCTTATTCGCTGCTGATGAGGGGCGTGTAAGCAAGACTGGGTTTGGCTTGTAGCCATCTCCTTTCCTACCAGTTGTTGAAGCGGGTAATCGGAAAGATTGGTGATGAACGACTGGTGCGATTGATATGATACAGTCTTGTCGCTTGCTCGCTTCAGCAACCGATGGAAAGTGGGTTTGGCACCGCGCCGAACCCATCCCTCTTGACACGTCAGCGAACAAACTGCAAACACGAGAAGTGTTCGATCCTCACCTGGGATCATATTTTTGGCCCACAACTCAGCATTCGTGTTGTAACGAGGGGACAAAAAATGGATTGGTGGAAAGCCTTGGAAAGGAACAGTACTGAAATTCAGGCATTTTCAGGGATGAAAGACGTAATGATCCATGGCGATCTATGGTCAGCGAATTTGCTGTGGAAGAAAACACATAAGGGATTTGAACTGGCCAGGATAATCGACTTCCAAGTCAGTGATTAAATTGTGTTGTGTATAAGTAAGCGAACCGGTTAAGCTTGAAACCAGTTGTCAAGCTCTTTTATTGCTTTAATGTGGCGCTGCTGTCGCCTAAAATCTGAAGACGTGCTCTGTTAGGATGCCAAAGTTATTGTTAGATTTTCGTTCAGATGTTAAGAGACAACCTACTAGATAGGCTTCAACCCTTCCCCTCCACCCTGTCAGTCACGCGTCTTTTGAATGAACCCGTACTTCCACCGACGTTCTTTCAAATTATGTGACATAATGTTGAAATAGAATAAATTGCGACAACAAACTTTTGGAGAGGGAGGGGGAAAGGTACATTCCATATTAGTCGTATGGGTAGAGACGGCTACCCGTTATGGTGGCCAATGAGGGGGAGGCTCGGTTTGGCGCTGTGCTAGTCTGTTTTCCACCAACAGTTGTCGCTCGCAAGCTTCAGCAGGTGGTGGGAAAGGGGGTGGGGTGTGTAACTTTAGCTAAGTCAGTAATTAGGCTGGCAGATCTCGCACCTAGTGTGCCTTGCCAGTGGGGAGCCCTTTCATAAGCTAACTATTAATAATAACATCGCTGTACACCTTGATCTACTGCAGCAGCAGGAGAAGCTGAGGCATCTAAGGTACCTGAAAGATGCGTTGTTTCTGCAAAGAGGGGAGGAGTGCAACAAATGTAGTAGGCGCAGGTTCTTTCGCAGAAGGCATCTGTGGTAAAGCTGAAGACGTATAGAGTGAAGGAGTGGCCGCGTGCCTTGTGCTGTAGTAAGTGTCTGTAAAAGATCCATATACACTGTATGATGGAGAAGGAATGGGCAGGTGTAGTCGGGGTGTCGATCGTAGAGGCCGTGTACATGAAGGTTCATGGAGTTGTGAAGTGTTGCCGTGGAGGGTAAGGGGTTGGGGAGTGTTGACATGATAGGTACTGTACATAGACGCACTAGGTCCTGCAGAGAAGGTATGGCTGAGGAGAACCGAGTAGAGAAAGTCGCCGTATCAGCTTGAAATCATGCTGAGACACAAACACGGAAAGGTGCTGTTCAATGCAATTCTTCAGCCTAAACACTTGTTGACACGATTGACCTTCGAAGAGGGTCTGATACAAGGGAATCAAAAGCAAGGTGTCTAATGATGTGCGAAAGGTGATCTGCTGTTAACTAGTTTGCCTTTAGCTCAGTTCGTAAGTACTTCTGTCATCCATATAGCGTAGAAGGTAAGTTCTTCACATTTTCCAGACCCATTTTCCATTCAAGCGTGTGTTTCTGAACCTTTAAGTGACTTTAATTTCCCCTTTCTTCTATTTATCAATAATATTCACTGAGCTGGAAATGCTGGTGAGAGGCACCAGCCAGCGCAGCCAATTAGGCAAGGTCGCCCCACAGGCGATCTCACCGGTGTCCCCACAGGCGAGGGCGGAAAGGTGCTAAGTGAGGTCAACTTAGCTAAATTGACATTCCCAAGGGGGTGGTGCCGCGGTACCCAGCCCCTCCCTTCTGACACGTCCCAGCATCCGCAGCGAACAAGACTGCAGATGAAGGAACCAACTTTCCTTTCCTGCAATTTTCAGCGGTTCCTCTATAAAACTCAATACAGTCACCTTTGAAAAAAAAACGTGTGGACTAACTTACACTTCAGTTGTCTGCGGATGAAGGGGCGTGTCATGCAGTATGAGTGCGCCTCGGCACCAAAACGGTTGTGTGCCAGTTGTTGAAGCGGGTGTTTGTCAACAATTAGCAGAAAACGAGTGATACGAACAGCACAATACAGTCTTGTCAGCTGCTCGCATCAACAGCTGGTGGTGGACGGGTTTGGCACCGCGCCCAACCCACCCCGCCTGACACGCTCCTTCGTCCGCAGCGAACTAGACTATAGCTTGAGTATAAAGCAGCTTAGGGTAGCGTCCAGACTTCGCGACAGCAGCGCTTCGGTCGCGCATTCGACGCGATCGATGCGCATGCTTTCAACTGCATCGATCGCGTCGAACGCGCGACCGAAGCGCTGCCGTCGCGAAGTCTGAACGCTGCCTTACGGGAAACTGTATAATCATCTGGTTTTCTAGCTGGCTCATTTCGGATGTGCTGCCGAGGATCTGACTCGTTTACTGATTACAACGCTGAGTGGACACGACCGGCGGAAGAATTGGGAAAATCTGCTGAAAGAGTTCTATGGATATCTTACGACGTACTGTAAGAAAACGGAGCTGCCCTACTCTCTCGAGCAAGTGAGTAAATGACTATTTCTCCTACATTTCCGATTCTATTATCCTCTTTTTTTGACTCACTTGTTCGCCATTCCGGCTTTCTTGGGTATGTTGAAGGCACTTCTTACGCTCCTCATTTGGGTGGAGTCGGGCCTTTCTTTGTGCCTCCTATGTTATTTCGTATCTCATTTGTGATACGGTCGAGGAGAATGGCACTGTTGAGAAAGGCACTATGGTAGGCCGGATTCCCCCATGCGATCAACGTAGACTTTGCATTTTAATTGTTGTAGTATATTCACTAATCATACCTCCACACACTTCATTCGATATCTCTGAGTGCCTACAGCGAAAAGAGAAGCCGAAAAGAAAAACCGAAAGAATAAACCACTGTTTTTTTTCAGCTGAAAGAAGCGTATCGTCGATTTTTCCCATTTGCTGGAACTATTCTGCTACCAATCATTGACTCCGTGGCCAAGGTTCGATCTGATATGAATATTGATTATAGGCATTGATTTATTGTATAGTTTCAGCATTACTATTCTCCACTATACGACTCTTCTTAATTCGGGCCAAACCTTAGTCGAAACTTCTCCCCGCAAGGGCTCATCACATCCACTCGGCTCGAAATCACGCACTCCTTGCTTTACAGGCGTAAATGTCAAGACGGCTCAAAACACCCTTCATATACCCTTGGCGAGAAAACGCAGTGTGCGCTCCGGACGCTAGCGCCAAAAATAGCCTTTAGCTGCTGTGCCGCGAGCGCCAGAGATGGTCGCGATTAGCGGTCGTTATACTCTCGATCAGGGGACCTGAAGAGAAAGTATAGGACAACACCCTTGAGACTTTTCGATCAAAAATGTTTCCTGAATTCCGATGAGTGGTGGCAGTAGTGGTACAGTAAAGGGTAAATAGTCCCAGAAGTCGCACTATATATAGTTTAGTACCTATATTAAGGAAGATTCTACCTAAACACCAATTAGAAGAGGTCGGGTCAGGGATGAAATGGGTAAGACATGGGACAAGGTGTACAAAGCACACATGAACCGAACTAAACCCCGCCTACAGTGGGCGGGGCGTGCGCCACAACAGTGTC